GGGAGGAGGCCCCAGGGAAGACCCAGGACACGCTGGAGGGACTATGTCTCTCGGCTGGGCCGGGAACACCTCTGCATTCCCCCGGAGGAGCTGGAGGAAGTGTCTGGAGAGAGGGAAGTCTGGGCATCTTTGCTTAGACTGCTGCCCCCGCGACCCGGTCCCGGATAAGCGGAGGAAAATAGATGGATGGATGGATGGATGTCTTGGCGATTCACTAAAACTCACTGACCCCTCAATTCATTCAAACTCACCACAGACTTTGAGGGGAGCTTCTAGTTCAAGCAGGATTGGCTGGCTCAGGAAGATTTCACGAGACTTGAGGCAAAGGCCACGGATCTCACTCTCTGTCAGCTGGACATTCTTCCCTGGACGAGAGCCCTTAACTGAGGAAAAAAGGGATAAAAAGGCATTTTATGGGTGTCTTAAAAAAAAAAAAAAAAACACTTATGTTTAGACCTGTAACAATGACCGCATGAAGACTGACATAAAGCACAGCAATGAAACATGATCCTGGGATTCTGAGTCAGACCACCAGACGGGAAAGTTAACACCTCCCACCATCCAAATGCAGGCAAATTCTGTTAGCAGTCCAGTCTAACAGCTACATCAGCAGGTAACCACATCGTTTAAAGGTAATAATGTACTCAAAATTTTATAAATCATAAGCTACTAACATAAAAAATTATGAGCCTGTGCAGTGAAAGAGATGCATATGAGAAAACCTGAGCAAATCAGTGGAAACTAGTCTGACGTCAGTTGAAACCCAAGCTAGGACAATAACACAAAACCCACTTCCCCTTCTAGCTGATGTTTACTGCAGCACTGCAAACAGCTTGTTAGGACTACCCTGTCAAGAACCAAAAAACTGCCTGCTAGGAGCTGTAATAACAGTGTCACATCAAAAATAAGGTCAAGGCATAAGGCTGTAATGTACAGTAAAATGTCATGAAACATTTAAACTGTATTTATCATGTAATAATGAAGGTAACCCCCTGCAATCCAGCCACTGATATCTGTTCAGTAGGTCTGTCAAATCTCTCGTCATGCTTTTTCACACTTTTACCACACACACTGAAAGGAGCCAAACACAAATCATGATAAAGACTTGAACAAGGAACCCAAATTATCTTCCTGACAGATTGTCTTAAAAAAATATCACACATCATAGAAAATGTGTGCTGTCAAGGCATTAAATGCTAGAAGAAGCAGGAGTGCAACGTCAATAACAGAAAAAATTCACAAAAGCCGGTCTCAAATGATTTACATCAAACTACTGTTGGACTGCAGCTCATAATGGAAATCAAAATATTTGCTCATTGTCATGCCAACCCTAAGGTGTGGACATGATGTCATCAGTATGTACACTATGTGGCCTTACGTAAAACTGGTCCCGATGAAGTCTGGTTTGTGTCACCGACAGAATCAATCACATCCCCATTCCTACATGTGATGATGCCAAAGCAGATCCTAAAACTAATTTGACAAGTGACTAATGAGAAGTTTCATCCATACAAGTGTAACAGAACTTCCTACAACCGTCTCACTGGCAATTATTATCAAGCTGGGTGTGAACACAGCTCTCGCTAATATTTATGGAGTGGATTAAACAGCTGTCAGGTGTTTAACAGTTAACAGGTAAATAGCCAGACTAATGCTTTTGACACCGAGTCCCAAACAAACAAAGAAATGCACATCAAGATGGATAATAACAGGAGAAGTGTCTCTATGTAAAATAGATTTTATTTTTTACAACATATGTTATTGTACTTGCTTCAACAGGCAAATTCAGAGGCAAAAGTGTACAATTGTGTCTGAAGCAATCATAATTACTCATGATGAAAATCCATATTGGCAGCACAGTGGCGCTGTGGTTAGCGCCGTTGCCTCACAGCGAGAAGGTTCTGGGTTCGGGACCCTTTCTGTGTGGAGTTTGCATGTTCTCCCCGTGCTTGCGTGGGTTCTCTCCGGGTACTCCGGCTTCCTCCCACAGTCCATAGACATGCAGCTTAGGTTGATTGGTGTCTCTAAATTGCCCATAGGAGTGCATGTGCGCGTGTGTGGTTGTTCGTCTATGTGTTAGCCCTGCGATGGATTGGCGACCTGTCCAGGGTGTACCCCACCTTCGCCCGATTGCCGGCGGGATTGCCTCTCGGCCCCCCCCCCCCGTGACCCCGTTCAGGGACTAAACGGTAGAAAATGAATGAATGAATGAATGAATGAAAATCCGTATTCCAATATAACACTAACAGACTTTCACACTGTAACTATTGAACAATTAATTAAACCCTGTTCCAAATGCACTCTGCTTTCAGTTTGACCTCATATACTAAAGATTGAACAACATAATACTAATGCCACAAAAGCAGCATTCAAACTGAAGAACTACATACTTATGAGTTTGTCTTCAATGGCAACTAAAGAAGGAGAAGAAGACAGTTAACTGTTAAAGCAAAGAAAGGTTTTCCAGTGATTGGTCGAGCGGCTTCCTTGTGTCCACAGAGTACCTGAAGTACCAGACCAAGGTTTTGCCTGCCCTAGAAAGGCCGCACCCAAGTGTTTTTGCAGAGCACCTCAAGTTGAATAAACATTAAAAAAAAAGACCTTCAATGACTTATCAGAATGAATCTATGCTAAAAACAACAAGGGTAATGGGCTTTCTTTCACAAATACCGTAAAGCTAATGGTCAAAAAATAGAAAACTAAAATAACTCAAAATTTCCTTCAAATAATTTCAAACTCTCCAACCACCACCTCCCCAAGCTAGAGCTCACCGAAGCCTTCTCAAAACCAAGAGAAAACTCTGCAGAGCAGGCACTTAAATGCAAAATGGCAATATTACAACTGACCAAATTAACTTGTGGTAGCCAGTCATGACTGCACTTATTACTAATATTAATGTCAACTTATCACGGAGACAGAGGAGGGTTAAATTAAATATGAACAATTTCGTAATCAAAATCAGATTAACTCATACTTGGAAACTTTTGATAAATTATCATTGACTTGTGAACATATGGAAACAAAAGTACAGATTATCTTTTCTGATCAAATGGTAAATCATAAGTAAAGTAAAAACCTTCTTGTGAATTGTAGCTGCACACAGAGCACCTGACACTTCATTTCACAGTAAAACTAATCAAGGTTTTAAAGTTTGTGTAAATCGCTTGAAAGGGAGGGTGACAGTACAAACGAACAACTGAACGTAGAACAGCGGTCTCCACCTTTTTTATTCGGAAAGCTACTTTGAAAAAATGAAACTGGCCGAGAGCTACTCATGTTTTATATTAAGCTACTAGTTACATTTAATCACATACTGTATCACAACTTTCCAACAAATCTCCAAACAAAACCAACCGAATACGCAAATTGTTGTATCCAGTTATCAAATATTAATATCCAACACATTTTATATCAAAAACATAAACATCAATCATCACATCAGAATGCCAAGCTCATATGCACCTCTTTTCATACAGCAAAACCTTATTTTATAGATTGCATGTACTGTAGATGTTATAAAAAGTGGGGAAAGTTTGTTATTGTAGTTTGGGCTCCTTATCAACACAAACAACAACGGAGGAAATTAAGGTAGGCTACTTAAAACCCCTTGGTGCCCGACTGCCACAATTTGATTAAAAAAGACATGTTAAACATTTTGTGTACCTTCAGATGTCCACTGCAAATGAATGCCCACAACCCAGCTTAGAAATCATAGAAACATCACACTCCTTATAACTCCAGTTCTGATGGAGTATCAAACCAATGCATTGACAGCTGGCAGTACTTCCAATGGTATGTAGCAAACAGCAACTGTTAAAAGCAAATTTGGCAGTGTTACTTACTTTACTTAAATGTAACCTAAACATGCAGCAGGCCATAGCATAACTAACTGAATCCATAGCAATGTACCTCCTTTCTTGTATAGTAACGTTTCATGTTTATCATTTCATTTAAGTGAAGACTTTTAAGGATTAATGCAACATTGTCCAAAAGAGTTGTTAACATCACTGAATGGCATAAGTGAGGTAAACAAACCCATTTGATTGCCAAATAATAATTTGGTGCTAAAGGAGGGCAGGACATTTGTATATTTGACTGGACTGCAGTTTGAGCAAGCTTACTGAGCAACATTGTTGTGTAACAGTTCTAATTTTATAATGTATGCATTGTAGGCTACATACAGTGCCTTGCGAAAGTATTCAGCCCCCTTGAACTTTGCAACCTTTTGCCACATTTCAGGCTTCAAACATAAAGATATAAAACTGTAATTTTTTGTGAAGAATCAACAACAAGTGGGACACAATCATGAAGTGGAACAAAATTTATTGGATATTTCAAACTTTTTTAACAAATAAAAAACTGAAAAATTGGGCGTGCAAAATTATTCAGCCCCCTTAAGTTAATACTTTGTAGCGCCACCTTTTGCTGCGATTACAGCTGTAAGTCACTTGGGGTATGTCTCTATCAGTTTTGCACATCAAGAGACTTAAATTTTGCCCATTCCTCCTTGCAAAACAGCTCGAGCTCAGTGAGGTTGGATAGAGAGCGTTTGTGAACAGCAGTTTTCAGTTCTTTCCACAGATTCTCGAGTGGATTCAGGTCTGGACTTTGACTTGGCCATTCTAACACCTGGATATGTTTATTTGTGAACCATTCCATTGTAGATTTTGCTTTATGTTTTGGATCATTGTCTTGTTGGAAGACAAATCTCCATCCCAGTCTCAGGTCTTTTGCAGACGCCATCAGGTTTCCTTCCAGAATGGTCCTGTATTTGGCTCCATCCATCTTCCCATCAATTTTAACCATCTTCCCTGTCCCTGCTGAAGAAAAGCAGGCCCAAACCAGGATGCTGCCACCACCATGTTTGACAATGGGGATGGTGTGTTCAGGGTGATGAGCTGTGTTGCTTTTACGCCAAACATAACGTTTTGCAGTGTTGCCAAAAAGTTCGATTTTGGTTTCATCTGACCAGAGCACCTTCTTCCACATGTTTGGTGTGTCTCCCAGGTGGCTTGTGGCAAACTTTAAACAACACTTTTTATGGATATCTTTAAGAAATGGCTTTCTTCTTGCCACTCTTCCATAAAGGCCAGATTTGTGCAGTATACGACTGATTGTTGTCCTATGGACAGAGTCTCCCACCTCAGCTGTAGATCTCTGCAGTTCATCCAGAGTGATCATGGGCCTCTTGGCTGCATCTCTGATCAGTCTTCTCCTTGTATGAGCTGAAAGTTTAGAGGGACGGCCAGGTCTTGGTAGATTTGCAGTGGTCTGATACTCCTTCCATTTCAATATTATCACTTGCACAGTGCTCCTTGGGATGTTTAAAGCTTGGGAAATCTTTTTGTATCCAAATCCGGCTTTAAACTTCTCCACAACAGTATCTCGGACCTGCCTGGTGTGTTCCTTGTTCTTCATGATGCTCTCTGCACTTTAAACGGACCTCTGAGACTATCACAGTGCAGGTGCATTTATACGGAGACTTGATTACACACAGGTGGATTCTATTTATCATCATTAGTCATTTAGGTCAACATTGGATCATTCAGAGATCCTCACTGAACTTCTGGAGAGAGTTTGCTGCACTGAAAGTAAAGGGGCTGAATAATTTTGCACGCCCAATTATTCAGTTTTTTATTTGTTAAAAAAGTTTGAAATATCCAATAAATTTCGTTCCACTTCATGATTGTGTCCCACTTGTTGTTGATTCTTCACAAAAAATTACAGTTTTATATCTTTATGTTTGAAGCCTGAAATGTGGCAAAAGGTTGCAAAGTTCAAGGGGGCCGAATACTTTCGCAAGGCACTGTACCTGTACTGTATATTCTCTGAACCTTTAGGCACGCTGCTCAAAATCATGGAGTGAGCTACTTGTGGCTCACGAACAACGTGGTGGAGACCTCTGATGTAGAATAACGGTGCTATCCGGAATCAACTGCTAAAAGCAAGGTCCAAAACAGTGGAAAGTGGGTATAAATACTGCAGTGCTGATTGTCCCTTTAAACCTGGATTACAGAGGGCTAAGCCCTCACAGAGCTTACCCCAAAGTTAGCCAGTGTGCAACACTGAGCTTATCATGAGGGGTGCAGAAAACAAAGAGCTGGACCAGCACAACAGACCAGCTGTCAGGGTGTCAGAAGTGCTGGAATCAACATTTGGTTTAGTCCAGCACTTCTGACTAAGTGCTAGTGTTCTGCCTGGACTTACATGATATTATGCTCTACAAACATGCTATTAGCAATGCAACTCCCAGAGTTTACTTAGCTCTAGATCTACACAAGTAATCCAATTGAAACAGCTCATTATCCAAACACATTTAATTGGTTTGGTCTCAAAAAACATTTAGCAGGCAGGGGGTTTACCTTGCTGTTGACATAGGAGGCTGAGCTCATGTAGGATAAATTATTACATCTTTTGACACAGCACCTGAAGTGGGGCAGTTATTTTTGAGTCTGCTGTAGTCTTGAACACAGATGATCAACACAACAGTAATGTTAACTGGTGTGTGGTTATTCTCAGCAATAAAACCAAATGCTGACAAAAAAAGGTCACGCAAGTTACACAAGAGGATATAAATACCGGCACTATCAGGCTTGTTTGTCTTCTTCTGTACTTGGCAGACACCCTTTTCTCTGGCCAAATATAACAATCCAAATACAAGACCCTCCAGCAGCCAGCAGGGTCCACAGTCAAACTCCAAGAAGGCAATGTAACTACACATGCATATTTGTGAATAATCCAAATCACCTCCTTCAGCTCAGCTAAGGCTGATCTTTCAGGGCCTAAATTCAAAATGGTAAGCAAACAAAAGAATACAGTCAAAATTATCAACAGTGTTAGGCCAGGGAAATTTCTCTGTAACCAACATTTACTGGCAAACACATTTTCTGATAGTGTGACAAAAGGTTCCAATTTTATAAATCATTTCTTATAGAGGCCACAAGACCCCTGCTCATTCATTCAGGACGTTGCTCTTGTGAGTTACTCAAAGATGTCTCTATACAAACATTTCCAAAGGGGAAACACATAAGTTTACATGTTGGAGAGAACTTCCCTGCCCAAAGTACCTGCCTTTCAAGGACAACTCCAGAGGTCACAACCTCATTCTTGTGCTCTTTAGGTGAACTGTATTTTTGGGTCACAAGAGATTTATGCTTCTGTTTGGTGTCCTCAAGACTGCTGTTACACAGGTATGAATGTATCCTGTTGTTACTCACACAAACAAACACACACACAAAACTCTAAAAATAATACATCTGTCAGCACACACTGCATACAATAGGAAGTCAGATAGGTAAAACCTACTACTTAGGAGTAATTTGTGTTAATCACTCCACATCTGCCTTAAAAATGTTTTACATCTAAAGTGTTGTGAAACTATTCCAGAGCAACTGTTTACAATTTGAAGGATTTACATAATAATCATAACATTTATAAATATTCTAATATGCACTAATGGATTTTCTTTTTAAAACCGGGAGCATACAAGACTGATTTGCAACAAGAAATAATGCAAGCAGTTCATCTCTTGCTTCAAAAACTGCAGAAACTGCAAAAACTGTAATCCTCACCAACAAGTTACTCTGGGCAAGGAGGTAGCTGCAAACTGTGTTAAGATGTGTGCGCAACAGTATGCACAACACAGGACAGCCCACCCAAGTTTTTTTATACCTTCCTCCTGAGGAAGGTATTAAAAAAAAAAACTATGAGCACAAGCCTGTTCTTATAGTAAGCCACTGTCAAACAATGTAAACATCAGCAAGTCAATATAATAATATCTCACTGCCTTATTGCAAAGATCCTCCAACTAATAGCTGTAATTATTCAGGTTAGGGAATTCTCTGTAAGAAAGAAATAGCCCAGCATCACCTCTTCGATGGAAAAAGCTAATGCATTCATCAAAAACCACAGACTAGCCAGTGTAATTTGTATAAATGTGTGAGTTCCTCCTTTTCATTGTACTTCACTCTTTAACGTCACCTGTTTCCCCATGACTTCTACACACACCATAACAATGTGTAACGTTACTGAAAAAAACATAAGTGGATAATAAAACATAATCTTTACACTCGGATAACATTTGTTAAACAACGTGGAAAGAGAATTGGTGACTTGACCTTTCATTCAAATCCAAGTATCTAGTCTGAGAGGTCAGCAGTTTTAACTAGGCTGCTACAGCATTACATGACATCCTTAAATTGTATCCCACTTGTCTGGTATCTACAACACATTTTAACTTACCACAATCAAGACACTCCATATTCTAATTTAAGTACAGCTTTGCACCGTGGGTTTTAGTCCTCCTCACCTTCCAAGAGACGCTGAATTATAGAGTCGATGTTTAATTTGTCCGGCTCCGCCATTTTCTTTATTTTCCGACGTTCTCGGGCAGCGAAGACCTTGGTTTTCCGTGTCGCGCCTTAGATTTCAACAGCAAAAAAAGAAAGAGACGAACACTAGCAGTTACTTATCATATGCGTTTTCATTCACAACTGTTAGCGTTAGCGAGTGTACCGCAATAGCTAAACAACTCATGTTAGCAGACTGGAACAATCAATGAGCTTGAGCTAACCAAGCTAGCTAGGTAGCTACTCGCCAAGTAATGTAAGCTATACATACAGACCAAGTGGGAAGAACAGCATTAGTTAGCAGACCTTAGCTGCTAAACATAAAATGTCCCCGAACCTTGTTTTCAGTTCAAAGCGAGTCCCTCCGGAATGAATATTGTATAAATATTTATCTTCTGTGCTCAACCTTGGCCCCTTTCTCTTGGTTTGCCCCGGTCTCTTCACTCTTCTTGCCAGGAACTTTAAAAAAAAAAAAAAAAAAAAAAAAAGGCCCTTGTTACCAAAGTGTCCACGGTATCATCGAAGGTTGAATCAAAACGACACTTCACACATTTCTCAAAAGATGATTGGTCCATCATGAAAGTTAGATCCGAAAGTTTCACATCTGATTGGACGAATGCTGGGTCTGTCTTTGGCCCCGCCCCAGTCGGTCACAGCGGCGTCATTTGAGATTTAAATAAGAGCTTATAGCCACCCAGTGGTTATGACTGGAATTGCAGAGTAAAACCTGAAAATACTGTCCAGCAAGGTTGCTCCAAAACGTTAATGGTATTCGGCTTCAGTTAACTGATGATATAACTTGGGGGAAACTTTGTTTATCTAACAAGGTCAAAGAAGTTCATTTTAAAATACTCCTGTAGTGCAAAATATGTGGAGTTTGCAGATCATCATCAGAATCAGCTTTATTGGCCGGGTGTGTCGGACACACGAGGAATTTGACTCTACATCGGCTCTCAATATGCATGTACATATCCCCATGCAAGGGGCAAGCAAACAGTAAATCAACATAAGGCTGTGTAATATAACAAAATAAGCAGTATTTACAAGCAACAAACAGTGAAAACAATGCAAAATAAGCTGTACAGACAGTAAACAATGCAGACAAACAAAGGAATGTTCATTGAAATGAGATAAATAGGAATAAAAATAGAGTACTTAAAAATAGAGACCTGTACGAATCTGTATAATCTGTACGAGGTATATTTACAGGTGTTGCACTGAGGGTTATTGTCCAGTCATACTGTCATTGGTTAAGTGTTCATCAGAGTGATGGCTTGGGGGAAGAAACTGTCCCTGTGCCTGGTTGTCTTGGCGCACAGTGACCTGTGGTGCCATCCAGAGGGGAGGAGTTTGAACAGATTGTGTCCAGGCTGTGAGGTGTCTGCAGTGATCCACTCCGCCCTCCTTTTGACCCGTGAGGTGTACAGGTCCTCCATGGAGGGCAGGCTCGCACCAATGACTGAAGTCCACTCTCATCTCCACTGTTTTGAGCATGTTCAGCTCCAGGTTGTTGCAGCTACACCACAGGACCAGCTGCTCAACCTCCAGTCTGTAGGCTGACTCGTCGCCATCTCGGATGAGACCAATGACCGTTGTATCATCAGCAAACTTTAGGAGCTTGACAGAGGGGTCCTTCGAGATGCAATCGTTGGTGTACAGTGAAAACAGCAGAGGGGAGAGCACACATCCGTGGGGGGCACCTGTGCTTATTGTCCGGGTGCTGGATGTGGCTTTCTCTAGCCTCACCTGTTGCTTCCTGTCTGTCAGAAAGCTAGTAATCCACTGATTACTAGGTGGGGGCAGGCACAGTGAGCTGGGTCAGTTTGGAGTGGAAGATGTCCGGGATGATGATGTTGAACGCCAAGCTGAAGTCCACAAAGAGGAGTAAAGCTGCTGCAGGATGTAATGCAGTGCCATGTTCACTGCATCGTCCACTGACCTGTTTGCCCGGTAGGCAAACTGCAGGGGGTCTACGATGTCCTTCAGTTGGGCCAACGCCAGTCTTTCAAAGGACTTCATAACTACAGATGTAAGGGCGACAGGTCTGTAGACGTTCAGTCCACTGATGGAGGGTTTCTTAGGGACTGGGATGATGGTGGAGCATTTGAAGCAGGAGGGGACTTCACACGGCTCCTGTGAGACACACACACTGCTGCTGGAAAAAGGAGTTCCTGGCCACACAAAGCCTAATACATTTATATGTTTTGGGCTAACCCCTTACACAGAAAGATTACAGAACCCCAGATGAAGTCAGTCCGGAGACTCCATCTCTTATCTAATCTCCACATGCTTGGAGCTGCTTCGTCTCTACCTAGTCATAGCAAAATTAAGAATCTCAATGTGTGTGTATGTTGTCACGTGGTGCATAGCTAAGGCATTTGTTAGGTATTTTTAGTCAGATAGACATTGGTTAGACACTTCATGTATTAGAAATGTTTAGTGTAGACAGGATGTCTAGCTCAGGCTGTTAAATGCTTAGTCATTCCCATAAGGGTACTCCAGGTTGTTCATGTTCAAGGATAACTAGATAGAAAGTTGATTACTGTTAGGAGACAGAATGTTTATTATTGTTATTATGACGTGTGTAATCATAATATGTTCTTATGCTTAGTGTCATGACATGTCACTAGATGTCATGTCAGAATGTTTTAGATACACACCACACAATCAACAGACAGTCACACATTGATTTTCTTCATGCTTTGACTACTGCTATGGTCAGCTGCAAAGCTGGCACCGGAGTAGTCACGGTTTGGCGTCCCTGAGTAGTATGGG